CGGGAGCGCTGCCGCGCTTCCCAAGCGGCACACTTATCCAGTGCGCCACCGGGCCGGCCCATCAGGATGCATTTTTAAAAAAGCAAAATTGCTGACTGGTAAGTGCAGATTGTGAAGGAAGTTTAATCATTGATTTTTAAAAGTTATTTACCCAGGGGCCAGCCCAGTGGCGCACTGGGAAGCGCGGCGGCGCTCCCGCCGAGGGTTCGGATCCCACATATAGACCGGCCACTCACTGGCTGAGCGAGGAGCGGGGGCAACACCGAGGGTTGCGATCCCGTTGCCGGTCCCGGTCCAGTACGGGCGCGACACTGAGGGTTGCGATCCGTTGCCGGTCACGAAAAAAAGACAAAAAGACCAAAAAAAAAAAAGTTATTTACCCAAATAGAAGATTTGTATAAATACTATTTTGTAAAAGGCAGTGTAAAAGATTTTATGTTTTATTTTTTAGACTGAGTCTCTACTTACACTCATTATATTGCAAGAGGCCTCATTTTAATTTCAGTACACTATATAAGCACAAAAATAACTATTCCATCTAAGACAGGATGATTCTAAATGATTTCCCACTTACAGTCTCGTCCGATACATTTTCACAGACACATTGTTGTTTTAAGACAATTCTAGCACCATCCTATGAAAGCTGCATTAGACTTCCAAATTTCTCATTCCATATGCTTCTGCAGCCTCAGTCATACCTAATGTGGTATCAGGATTGATGGACAAACATGTTTGTTTGTTTGNTTATCTCTACAGATCTTTGTAATCTGAAGATACTGTTGTATGAGAGTCAATCTAACCTAATAGATGTCGAATGAACCTGAAAGTCAAGAATCCTGAGTTCCTGACTTCCTTTTATTTTTAAGTTGTTGAATAATTTGGGGGTTAGGAGTTTTAGTTTTGTAATTATTTTCAATGAAGATTTTGTTTGTTTTTAACTTTTTATTGGAGTATAATACACATATAGAAAAATGCACATAAGTATATAGCTCAAATTTTCACAAAATGAACATCTGTGTAACCAATACCAGATCATGAACCAGAATATTACCAGCACTCCAGAAGCCACACTCATGCTCCCTTCCAGTCACTTAAATTGCACCACTATTTTCACCTCAATAAGCAGGAACTGGTTAGGTTTGTTTTTGTAGTTTATCTTATATCTGGCTTCTTTCATTCAATATCATGTATGTGCCATCTATCCATATTACTGTGTGTGGTTGTGGACTGTTCATTCGTATTGTTATGTATTATTATATTGTGTGACAGGGCCACAATTATTTGCCATCCTACTATGTATAGACATTCGNTGTTTGTTTGTTTGCTTATTCATTTGTTTTCCCACTGTACCTTTCTAAAGTTTTAGTTCCATCAGGAATTTTTAGCTCTTGTTAAGTTATCATCACTAACTGGTTCATTTGGTCTTTGGGGAGTAACAAAGAAAAGTTTATGATGAATTCCTTCCACAAGGAAAACATCAAACCATTCCTGCAGCTGGACTCCTGGTTAACCAGTTTATAAAAATGGTTATATGTAGGTGGGAAATAACCTCAAAAACAGTGTTTCCAAAAGTCACTAAGTTCAGATTTACTTCCAGACATCTGATACTACTAGCATTCCCTTTCCCACAATGTTACAAAAGTTACATGTTTTAAATTGGGACAGCCAGCTGCAGAACATTAAGTTTGTTTCCAGAGTGTCCAATTTAATTCACAAAAGTATATTGAGCCATGATCCTCCCATCTGTTGTATTTAAACATCCATTCAGGTCAAGAAGTTTATTCTGCAAACTCAGACAACACTACACAGGATATAGAGGTAATATTTGTTTTAGCTTTCATACAAGGATCCCAGATCATTTTCAGGTGATGTTTTTCAACTCTAACAAACAGAATCGCCGGACACTCAGTTACCATTTTAATGTGTGTATGGTAATGGTGATAT